GGAAACTGGCATGTACTTACGACGGTTGCAGTGTCCCGGGTTGATGTTCTCCCCTTTGTGATCTTCTGACAAGCAAAGGAAATAGAGAATCCAGATTCACTTAATTCTGAACAAGGCTTCCCGAGAGGACGAAGCAAACTCCTTGTCCCAACAAAAACCCCTTTTATTGATTGATCGTGAATTCTGCTCATTCACATCCAGCAAAATCTTTCGAGGGAGGATTTATGATCACAGACCTTATCTGGCTTGGAGAGATGCCAGGCTGGTATCTGCAGAACTTGGCAAGGAGTCTCGGACAGTGAGGAGGGTTGGGGAGGAACCTGGGCCAGTCCTGGAGTCTGGGGAAGGCTCGGATGAGGGCTCTGTGTCGGAGGCAGAGAGGAGGCTAGAGCCGTCTGACAGTTATCAGCTGCCTTCGGAGTCGGAGATCAGTGAGGCAGAAGAACAACTGGAGCCTGTTCCCAGTGTGTGCATGCACAGAATTGCCAGGAGAAAGGAACAGCTAAAGAACAGGGGTCGACTTGGGAGTAAGGCCACGGGGGGGGGGACGGGGCGATGCATGGCCCCTCCCAGAGGAAATAAAAGAGGAGCGAAAGGGGAGTGGAGTTTGAAGGAGACAATTAGTTCACTTAATTGGCCTGTGACTCTTCGAGACTCCTGGCCAAGTTTTGCAGATCTCGGCTGGCAGCTCTCCAAGCCAGATAAGGTCTGTGACCGTAAATCCTCCCTCGAAAGACTTTGCTGGATGTGAATGAGCAGAATTCACAGTCAATGAATAAAAGGGGTTTTTGTTGGGACAAGGAGTTTGATTTATACTCTTGGGAAGCCTCGGTCAGAACAATCAGCTCTGGGCCGTGGAAATGCGATTGCGTTCCAAGTGCATCTTAAGTTTTGATTTCTAAAAAATACTTGAAAAGGACACTATATATAGCCACTATATAGAGACAGTTGAGAAGAACATAACAGCTAGTTTTTTTAGGCGAAAATGCCAGCAGTGAGTAAGCTGTGGTAGCCATCCCTGTTGAACGCACATGCAGAAATTTTTTGTTCTTGTTATTTTGTTAAGAACTGGGAAACATTGAGAACATATTAATACATAATAAAACAGCGAGTCATTTCTCTATTCTATGACAATTTCTCTTGCGCGATGATGCTAAGAAGCGGGTTATGAATGTTAAGCCAGATAAAACGATTAGATTGCAAAGAGAGCACAGATAAAACAATTCGAAGACACACCATATGCAGCTGATGGTTTTTTTTTCAGGGGTGGTACATATAGAGGGAATTTCATTCTGCTTTTTTTTTTTTGGCGGGGTGTGTAAAAAAGGCAGGTTAATTTTATGAGCACATGCATTTCCTCTGTCATCCTTACGCGAACTAAAACAGCGCTAGTGAAATGGACCAAACACCACATTCTATTCCATTCCACATTTACTTTTCTTTTCTATTCTATTCCATTCCATTCTGTATTTTCTATTCTATTCCATTCCATTCCATTCTATTCTATTCCATTCCGTATTTTCTATTCTATTCTAGTCTAGTCTGCATTTTTTATTCTATTCTATTCCATTCTATATTTTCAATTCTATTCCATTCCATTCCATTC